CGAAAGGAAAGGATTTGGCTACAATAACCTCACTGTAGGTATGCCATGCTAAAAGCCTTATTATGGTGACTTTATTGGGTTGAAACGTGCATTTGCATGGCAAAATGTGACTTTCATTGAAGCAGATGTCTTGATCACAAATTATCTTACAATGCGCTAGAAAAAAAAAATTCCTAAAGACTTCTGAAAGTAAAAGCATTGAGTAATACCAATTAAAAGAAAATCACTAATGAGTTCATTCAGCGCAGCTCTTCTCAACTGTTCCAGGACTGTAGCTGCCCACGTTCATTTAGTGGGGGTTTGTGGCACCTACCCCAAACCCAGACAGGTACCCCCGGCACTTAAACAAACATCCACATATTTGCAACATTTCACCACTCAACACGTGTCTTTTACATCCAATTGTGGTCGAACGAGCCATCCACATCCAGGTGCTCTTCTTCTCCCCTCTCCCCGCCAGTCGAAGCATAAGCGAAAGTTTAAATGTACAGGAATGTTTGAGTTTATTGGGGTTTTTTATCTGGGAGTTGTATCTGGGCAGAGAGGGGAGCAGCCATCCCGCAGGCACCGCGCAGATGTAAGGATGTACGGAGGGAGGCCCAGGAGGGAGCGGAGCCCCGGCCGTCCGCCCCCACGGTGCCCAGCCTCGGCAGCGGGAAGCGGGGAGGCGCATCCCGCAGCAGCGCCGGTTTTCACTGCACATTACTTTTGCCACCTAGCGTCAACATCTTTTCAAGTGGCCTGCGCTGCTTCGCAGACTTTGCTGTGGCGTTATCGCCGGGAAAGGAAGAGAGACAGGAGAAAAACATCACTTCATATCTAGTTTACTAAGCGAGTGGGGCGGGGAGAAGAGAGCGGCAGAATCTGTGTTGAAATTTGGGGGTGGCCCATCGGTGGAGGCGAGAAGTGATATATCACCGCGGATCTTTTAATCTGCGCGAGATAGAAACTTGGTCCACTAGCATTCCCTTGCTTAAAAAAAAAAAAAAAAAAAAAAAAAAAAAAAAAAAAAAAAAAAAAAAAGAGAAAGAAAAAGTTACACACGCGAGGGCTTTAACTTAGTGATAGGGAAAAAAAAACCAAACCACCAAACCACAAAACAACCGAAAAAACTTGCCCCCAAATCCTTAACAACCCCCCTTCGGTACCGGGTATTTGTTAAATTGACGTGGCACAGATTTCTCGATTACCGCTGCTGAGCGTGACTGAAAGGCGCCGTGAGAGCCGGCAGGATCCTGCCCACGGCGCTCATTCTTCTCCGGCTTAATTTATGCCACGCGATTCTGTATTGGGGAAATCAAGCAGAAAGCTCCTTTTTCTGCTTTTTTCCCCCCTCTCCCTCTCTCTTTCAGATGCTGGGCTAACGGGGAGACTGTTTAACTTAAGTGTTTCTATAGGAGGCTGTTGTAGTTTAACTCCTGCCCACCAGTAGCTGAGGCGAACAAAGGAGGGACTCGAGGTCTAACTATTCATCCATTCTCTGCACTTTAATTTTCATTGATTTCGAAGACAAGGGGAGCCCTTAGGGATTCTCGCTGAAGGGGGATGACACGCCTTTAGACGCGATCAGCCCCCCAGCCAGCCATCTGCTCCCAACCAAATGGCGCTTTTTCGCTCCCAACCGCGTGTCTCCGCGCTCGCCCCCGGCCCCGCGCCCTGTTAAACCGTGCCCGCGCACTGACACCGACCCCGCTGCCGGGGATGGACGGACGAACGGACCGCCCGCTTCCCGCCCGTCCGTCCGTCCCGTCCCGTCCCGTCCCGCCGCCCTGCCCGGCCGCACCCGCCCACTGGGGTGAGCCGGCAGCGGGACCCCCGAGTGGAGGGTGCGGAGCCCTGGGCCCCTCCAGGGCGCGGTGACCGCGCGCGGCCCGGGACGCTGCGGGCCGGCCCCGCCTGCTAGCGGCTCGTTGGGGCTGGTGGAGCATTGTGCTTGCCCTCCCTGCCCCTAATTGTTACCCTTCCCGCAACGCCGGCCCCCCTCTCCCGCCCCGGCAAGGATTTACGGTGGCGCCGCGCAGCAGCGCCCAGAGCTCCCCATCAGCCGCAGCTTTTATTTCTAAGCGAGCCAGATTATGGGAAAAGTCACTTCAAAAGGGGGGGGTGGGGTGTGGGATATGCGTGTGTGTTAATTAGGGCTACGCGCTGCCATCGCTGGCGCGCAACCTTGATTTTTCCCCGGACGGAGGGCTCCGGGCATATGGCGAACGGTGCGTCGGCGGAGGGACGTGTACGTGTGGAGCTATGTGTAGCCGAGTGTGCATAATATTTTAATTAGGTCTATAGTCCCTACGGAGGTATGTGTGCGAGGCTGCCCTCCCGCCGCAGCCCTCCCCGCACATCCCCTTCACCTGTCCCTCCGGGCCGGGCCGGACGGGAGGGGATGGGAAGTGGGGGGAGGGCAAGCAGGGTGCTGCCGGGCCTGGGCTCTAGTTCACCCGTCGGCTCCAGGCTCGGAGGCATGATCGGGGTGCCGGCGCTGCCCGGGCCCCGCCGCCGGGCGCCGCGACCCCGAGGCGGGTGGGTGGGGCGCGGAGGTGCCGCGGTGCCGGAGGGCGCTCCGCCGCCCTTGCCGTGTGCGGGGAGGGGGATTAAGAAGTTTAGCGTGTAGGTTAGCCCAAAGTTGCAAAGGCATGTGCTGATTAGAATAAGAAAGGGCAGTCGCGTGGCTCAGCTGGCACACAGCGAGGCCAGATGATAGATAAGCAGCTCTGGGTCTTCCCTTCCCCCCAGCCCCCTTTTTCAAATCGCAAATCATCTGCTCCGGCCCTATCCTAGCCCCTCATTTTCATTACAATGGTTGTGTGTTTACCTGTGATCCTGGGACGGGGCATTCCTTTGTCTCCCGAAGAGATTACCGCAGCCAGCTGCTCTCCAGCCCTTCCCTGGGCAAATCCCGAAGTGGCCCCTATATGTGTTTTACAGATTGCTCACGAGGAGAAAGCGAGCCCCCCCACTTCCCCCGCCTCGTTTCCCTACCATACTTGTTTGTTTGGGTTTGCTCCCTGGCTTGCTTCCGACGGGATTTTGCTTGTGGGAAACTACGAGGGATAAAATTGGTCACTCGTGTGCGTGAGCTGTCGTTGCTCCTGAAATGGGAAGGGTGCAGGGCTTCGTACTCCCACCAGAGGGGCAGAACCACAGGGCGTCCTGGGGATGACAGGACATTAGGGGCTTCCCTCACCTTACCTTTCCCCGGCCCTAGAGTTCCCCTCGGTCAGGGACAGTACCGTCTCCCAAACCTCCCGTGGGTGCCCTGAGCCAGGCAGGTACCGTTCTTTCCCTCAGGCCCTGCTCTGGTACATGGAGATCCACAGGCCCTCATGCCCATGTTACTCTGGGGAGCAGCTCGGCCTTGCATTTGGAGTACTGGCATCTTGGCTTGCCTTAAAATGAAGGATTATCACGATCTTCAACATGCTAGAAACCACAGATTTAAACTAGAAAACCTTCTGAAGTCCCTTCACACATGAAATATCCCATGATCCTGAGATTTACCCTGTGCCTCACATCCCATTCACCCTGTTAGCCAAGCCTGGTGTAACCCCATGCAGCGCTGTGGCCTGGCTTGTCTTGGCGGGGGTGTCACAGACAAGGAGGGTGAGTGATAGGGCTCAGATCATGTACACAGGATAAAAAAATGTGATGGCACTTCTCAGAAAAATGTTTTTGCATTTTGGCCATAAGATTTCACTGGATGGCTGGAAAGATTCCTTCCTACCAGCTTCAGTAGAAATATTCACTGCCTTCACCTGTTCTCATAGGGAAACTCCTTCTTTTGCCCAGCTTTATTAAGCATCATCTTAAGTCAGAACTCCAAATAGTAGCTGCAAACTATCACTCCAGGCAGTAGCTGCTCAGACTGCTCTCTCCCCATGACAGTAAGCACAGCATGTTGCTGTACTGCACTGCATTTCATGCATGAAGGGTTTTTCTGTTCCCCTGTGGCCTGCAGCCCCTTCACACAGTGTGTGCAACTTGTGCATTGTATGCTGACTGCAGCGCAAAACCTGCTGCTAATATACTTTGGAGGAGGAGAAGGGGGAGCAGTTTCATCATATGTTTTCAGGGCTTTCCAAGCCACTTCCAATTTGCACAGCTTTTATTTCTTTCTGCATTTTCTTCCATGGCAGGGAAGGCAGGGAGGAGAGAGAAGGTGGGGGCAAAAACTCCTCTGCAGAAGGTGATTATGAGAAAAAGGATGGATATGGATGGGGCGGGCCTGAGCTTTTGGAAATGCTGTCCCCTTTTCTGAGAGCATCTGCCCGGAGACGAACAGATGTGGGCACCTGCGGTGACAGGCCACATATGCTCTATCCTATTCACAAGCATTCAGACACGGCTACAATGGTGAGGCTTTGTGCACATGGAGTCACCAAATATATTAATCTGCGCTCCCCAGAGAACCGCTCTGTTTAATTTTTCACCGGCAATAACATCTGATCTAATCTTCCCATCGGCTCTCCCGTGCCCCTCTCTCCCCTCCCGGAAAGATGTGAAGTTATTCAGGTCCCCACCTGTTGCCGGCGGGGTGGGACGGGCCGTGCTCTCGGCGCGCCCGCAGCCGAGCCGTTATCTCTAGCCCGGGATGTGCGGCGGGTGCGCCCGGAGGAAAAACGGGAATTCCCCTCCGCCGGCAATCGCCGGGCACAGCAAAGCGAACCCGCCCCCCCTCCTTAGGTCGCGCTGCCAAAGAGCGACATAAATCTCCGGTGTGCGACTCGGGGGGGTTCAAGCGATTTCGGTGCGCGACGCTTTCATGTCCCCACGGTCCCCCGTCCCCCCGCCCCGGCCAGGTTTGCTCGTGGGCACAATGGCCTCTCCGGCCCCATCGTGGGGGGAAGGTCCCCCCCAAAGCCGGGGGACCCCATCCCCGCGGGCGGGAACAGATGCGGGTCCCACCAGCCCGGCCCCCCTCCCGCAGCCGCCGTGCCCGACGGGGACCGGGACCTCCCCTGCCCGCGCCTCGGCACCGCCCCCGCCGCCGGGCGCAGGCGCGGCCCGCCCAAGGAAGCGGAAGCGCCGCTCGGGTCAGTGCGGGGCGGCGGCGCGACTGGGGGCCCCGGGGGTGGGTGCGGACTCAGCGCCAGCCTCGTCCCCTCCCCGTCCCCGTCCCGTCCCCGTCCCCAGCCCCAGCCCCCGCCCCTCCCGTCCCCAGCCCCCTCCCGTCCCCAGCCCCTCACGGACCCCGGAGAGGCGGGGTCCGGCCCTGCCGGGACTGGGCGCAGAGGCCCCCGCAGCTCGCGAGATCTTTAAAGGCCCCTTCCAACCCAAACCATTCTGCGATTAAAAAGGGTGGCATTCAAAAACTCTGTCTGGAGTGTGTTAGATCTTTAAACTCCGAGGATCCGGGAATACCTTTAAAAACTGTCAATTCACAATTTTTTTTTTTCCTTTTTGAATTCCATAAGCATGTTTTGGGTTTTTTTTTAATAATAAGAAATCTATACTCATTTTTCTGCCTAGGCGTACTTTTCTAAAGGCTATAAATCTGAAAATTTTTGTCATATTTATGAAAACCTTTTGATATTTACTTATTTCTCTGATATAAAAACCAGAAGTGGAAGGGAGAATGAATGAGTACTTATGTCTGGTTTGTTGATGGCAAGGAAACTGTTTCAAACTGTTACAAGGCCAGGACAAGGCAACAAGCTATCAGCAAAAGCAGAAAAACAGCAGTTCAGTTTCCAGGCTGCTGTCTTTTTTTTGCTTGTAGAATATCTTTATGGTTTTTATTATTGCATTTTAGAACGTTGTTTTTATTTTTCTTCTTTCAGACTGCAGTGAGTTTTGGAGAGAACAGCCATGGGCGTTAGAGGTTTGCAGGGATTTGTGTCAAGAGTTTGCCCTGATGTGTGCAAAACAGTAGATCTGAGAGAAATGGCAGAAAAACATCGTGTCGATCATCCTGATTTCCCACCTGTTATTGTAGTAGATGCCATGAGTTGTGTTAGATACTGGTACACACCAGAATTTTGGGTGTGTGGTGGCCAGTGGCGGGAGTACCTTGCCATTTTAGAGGATTTTGTTAACGTTTTTACGGCAGCTGGTATCAAGTTGGTGTTTTACTTTGACGGAGTGGTAGAAGAGAAAAAGAGAGAGGAGTGGATCAAACGGAGGTGGAATAATACCAAGGAAATAGCCAGACTATTTCAGTTTATTAAGACTCACAGGAAACAACCAGGCAGAGAAATGTTTGTTCTTCCCTCAGCTTTGCCTACTTTTACACGTTATGCCCTGAAGTCACTTGGTCAAAAAACAGTATGCACATTGCAAGAGGCAGACTTTGAGGTGGCTGCATATGGTTTGCAACACAACTGCATAGGAATTCTGGGGCAAGATAGTGACTACCTCATCTATAATACATGTCCCTACTTTTCCATTGAGAACCTCCGTTTGGACAGACTGGTCACTGTTATGTACTCTCGAGAGGAACTTTGCAATGTGTTGGGTATTAGTTTGACATACCTCCCTCTCTTTGCTGCCTTGCTTGGCAATGATGTTGTCCCAGAAAGCTTGTTGGAAGGCTTTTGGCACAAATGTTTAGCCACCAGTCCCCACAAGAACAACAGCTACAACAGAAGAACAAAAATACTTCTAGGTGTAGCAAATTACATCTCAAAAATTCCATGCTCGTACAGCAGCCTGAAACACTTGGAAGACATGCTACCTCTGGGATCAGACAAAACCTTGCTTTACAGAGGAGTAAAGTCCTATCTTTTACCTGGGCAGCAGTCTCCATGGATTCCTCCCAATGTAACAAATTGTCAAACGTTATCTCTTCAGCAGCAATCAGCCATCTGTCAAGATAAAGAAATCTTTCAGGTAACTTGTTTTTTAAAGCTTAGCGATCACTTTATTGCCATGACAACTTAGTGGAAGTTGGTAATTAGTACACCGAACCTATTGAATTAAATTTGCTTGTGCAAAATCTTTTGTCTGTTAAGTAGAGCCATGGTTAGGACTACTGCAGCATCACTATGAGGGGAGATGCAGCACATTTAGTAAAAAGTGGTTCTCTTTTTGAAGCATCAAGCAGGTCTAATAATGTGGAGCAACTGAATAGGCCAATAGCTGGGCAGAGAGATGTACTTCCCATGTATTACATGATGTATTGACTTCCTTTTACTTTGAGAACCCACAAGTCAGCCATAAGCTGGTCAGTGGTTTGCTTGGCTGTGCCTGGCACATGCAGTCAAGGTGCCAAAGAAAGCTGTGCTAAGAATGCAGAAGTTGAAATTGTGGTGGAAACTTCATACAGAATCGTATCTTAGAATTGTAGAATGGCTGGGATTGGAAGGGACCTTAAAGATCACCTAATTCCAAACCCCTGCCCTGGACAGGGACACCTTCCACTAGACCGGGTTGCTCAGAGCCCCATCCAACCTGGCCTTGAACACTTCCAGGGATGCTCCACCACTTGTCTGGGCAACTTGGGCCAGTGCCTCACCACCCTCACAGTAAAGAATTTTTTCCTAATAACTAATCTAAACCTACCTTCTTTCAGTTTAAAGCCATTTCTCCTCATCCTGTAACTACATGCCTCTGTGAAAAGTCCTTTTCCAGCCCTCTTGTGTCTCCCTTTAGGTACTGGAAGGCTGCTCTAAGGTCTCCCCAGAGCCTTCTCTTCTCCAGGCTGAACAACCCCAACTCTCTCAACCTGTCTTCGTAGGAGAGGTGCTCCAGCCCTCTGATCACCTTTGGACCTGCTCCAAGAGGTCTATGTCCTTCCTGTGCTGAGGAGCCCAGAACTGGACACAATACTCCGGGTGGGGTCTGAACAGAGCAGAGTAGATGGAGAGAATCTCCTCTCTTGACCTGCTGGCCACGCTGCTTTTGATGCAGCCCAGGATGCAGTTGGCTTTCTGGGCTGCAAGCACACATTGCTGGTCAGGTCAAACTGCTTGTCCAGCAACACCCTAAAGTCCTTCTCTGAGCTGCTCTCAATTCATTCTCCATCCCACCTGTACTTGTGCTTGGGATTGCCCAGACCCATGTGCAGGACCTTGCACGTGGCCTTGTTTGAACTTCATGAGGTTTGCACAGGCCCACCTCTCCAGTTTCACTTATGGCTTCCTGCATGGGCAGGGATGTGCTGGTGTTGGGGTGAGAGATGGCACATCAGATTGAGTCACTCTGGGAAATTGGATATATTAGCTTAGGGTAACCTACCTGGCTAATGGAATATGAGCTACCTTGCATCAGAATTTATGCAATAGTAGTAAGTCTAGAGTACAATTCTGTAAATTCATGGCATTTAAGATAACATACTGAGATTTAAAAAAGGAAATCTGTACAAGGAAGTGTATTTTAGACCCTATATTAGCCATCTGTCACTTCCTATTTTATTAGGTTCTCATAGACTTCATAGAGCCTTTGTCTCTTACTTATCTTGAGCATTTTCTTTAAAACAATTTTTCTGTTTCCTCATATTACTTCAAAGTAATCATATCATTTAAATTTTCCTTTAAAAAGACTATAAAACATTTTATAACTACCTTGTAACCTATGCAATGCTCATTTCAGCTAAACTGCAGATATATTTGGGCTTTTTTTGTTATCCACACATAGGTACAATGCATGTCACTTTTGACTGTTGTAGTTAAATAGAAGACATTTTAAAAATCAGCAACCATACATCATAATAAAGTGTTGAAAAATACTGTTTATACTTGAAGTGCAAGGAAAAATTAGCCAGAATGTAATTATCTACGTTGGATTATGGCCAGGACAATAGTGGCAATATCCTTATTCCTTAAAAGAATGTACCATGCAGTCTTTATGTCAAGTGGTCATTATTTCTTAGCTTGATCTTTCATTTGAAGAGTTGCAGTTCTCTAGCATCATGCTGAGCTACTGCTGTAATAAAATAATAATGGTTAGAAACTCCATTTAAGAATGCCTCTTCAACGTTGCTGCATAAATCCTATGTGAAGACAGTCCCTGGGCCAAGGAAATTAAAGTCAAAATGTTAGACATGTTAACTTCTCTTTTGTTTTTGTTACAGGTGTTTTAATATTTGTATATGTAATGTGTGTGCTTTGCTTCGTATTTTGAAACCCATATGTAGTTCTGCTTACATTGCACATAATCTGAACTGCATGCAAATGAGACACACTTCTCAATTCCAACTGTGAGGACGTAGCCTCATGTTGTTCCTTCTCTCAGAAAAAAGAGCACAACTTTCTGGCTGACTGTAGGTATGAATCAGAAATATTTTTCAAGATACAGCACTGAATACAGCAATACTTCTGAAATCAGTTTGTATTTTTTTCAGGACATGAGGATATGTAGATTATTGGCAAATTACAATAAAGCAGTATTTTTAAATGACCCCATATCTGTGACAGTGGTTTGTATGAAAAAGTTTAATGCTTCATTCAAATCATGCTTAGAAATACTTAATTCTGGTTTTTATTTTATACAAAAGTAGACTTGGGGGATTACATTGTTTACGCATATTAGGAACACTAAAATATTTCTTTCAGGGCAACCATTAATTTATTGCTATAAGCAAGTGCTCTGTTGATTGGCATTGTTCACAGAAGCCTATCATTGATTCTACGCTCATGTGAGAATTTCTTCTGAAAGTATGACATTTCAGTAGAATTAGTTTTGATCAGCAATGACCCAGTGTCTGACTGCAGCCTTGACCCGCTGAGTTCACAGGTTTGCAGATACTGGAATTCTGCAGAAATGGTGAATGGTGAACTCTGACCAGTGGTCTGCTAATCTGACAGTGAAAGAGGCGGTGATAGCTGCATGGATGGCACAACCCAAGTAATACAGATAGTGTGATACATGCAGGGAATGCAGAGCAGAGAGACGTCAGTGCCTGCTCACCATATGGCATGGGTCCTGAAGAATTTATCAGTGGCACCACATGGAAATAATTCACTCCGCTCAGCTGTTTGAACACCCCCATAGTTTTGGTCTGAGGTAGTGAAGTAGAAAGTCTGTCTGGGTCTCCACTTGGCCAGTCCAGGTTGCAAGTGTTACTGGTTGAAATTCTGCACTGCCTGGGAGCAGCTTTGTTGCTTTTACATCTAAGCCACTCCAGACCAGCAGATCCTGTTGGTACTGAGGCTTCTGTGAGCCTGCTGCTGTAGCCAGATGTATCTGCATCCAGTGCGTGGTTAATATGCAACCTGGGTGCTGCTGTTACTCTACTTTGCAGCAGCAGCCTGTAGACCTGGTTTTCCTCACTGGAGGGGATTGCATTTCTGTACATGGGGAAGAGCTATTGCAAAGTAAATGTGTCATGAAGTTAAGTATTCTAATTTCACCAGAATGTAAACTGCACAAAGTCAGCACAGGGAAGAAATAGAGCTGTCTTATGTAGTTCATCTTGCAATAAAATTAGAAGTTTGGGGTTTGTCATGCCTTCACTCACTGTTTAAAGAGAGAAGATACATTTTCAGGTGACTAAAGGAGGACAGCTATGTCTGAATTCAGAAATCATTTTAAGAATAATTACTCTCTAAAAAGCTGTCATTCATGCTCCCAAGTTTTAAGAATTAAAAGAGGGGTTAAGAAAGACAATAATAGGTTTCCTGGGGATTCCTGTCTACGAAAAGATAGAGGTCTGAAACTACAGTATACTGGTGGTATTTGAAAAAGGACTTGTTCCCTCCCTGGCTATTTCGTCTATTGTCACTGATAGAAAAAGAACTATTTCTTCAAACAGTGAATACATTTTGTTACATTTTGATCCTTCTTATTTTTGGAAATAATACCTTCTTCTTTCTTTGAAAAAACAGTTAGCTAAAGAACAGCATATCCAATCTGAAAATTATTCAGTCTTCAATATCCTGAGTAATGGAGTTATTGAGTGCAGCAACTCTTTGGAAGATGATTGTGATACAGAGATTCCTGGACAGTCACTTATCTACCGCCCTGCTCGTCAGCATATTTATTCTGTCTTGTTGGAATCTGGAAAAGGTAAGAATTAAACTACTTACATCGTTATTCAAGTATATGTTCAATTTTGAAATATGAAATCTTGAATTCATTGCTTCAGTGGCTACATCAGCATTTAGGATAAACGGCATTTAGGATAAAAAGTGCATTTAGGAGAAAAACTCTGGGCAGCTGAAGTGTACTTCTTATGGAATCAAGAGAAAATGTGACAGTGAAATTGTGGGCTTTTTTCTACATGCTGTTCCATTTCACTGCTTTTAAAGTGATTTTAAAAAATTGGGGATTTTTTCCTTGTTAAATGGGAAGTTGTGAAAGTAGTTAATGATCAAAAGATTGAGCAAAACAATGATCTTTAGAAGATTTTTGAAGGTTTGAGAGTGTATGAAACCTTATGTTGCTTTGGTAAGCGTGACTACTGATGAATTAGTTTGTTGTAATACACTTTTGCAGAAACAATAATGCACTGTTAAAATTTTACGTTCTGTTGATTTTAAGTCTGCAATTTTAAGACCAGTCAAATATAGTTACTGTAATAATGCAAATGCAAGTAGTCATGCCAGCGATTATTAGTTCTTTCATCCAAGTGCAAGAAAATATGATTTCTTTATCCAACAATATAAACAGATTCTGTAGCAGGTACATATATCTGTACTTCTATTCATCTCCTCCAAGACAGAGAGTTCTTTGTTCACATCCTTGGAAAATTTCATGTTCTTAAGACTTCCATTAGTTAAATGTTATCTTTACAGTGTCTTTCAGGCAGTGAGTTGAAAATAAAATGTGTACTGAACTTTTGTTCTTTTGAATATGTTGATTTCTCCAGAGTAATCACTTCACATTTTATTGATGAAAGTGCACCGCCACCAAACCTAATATTCAAAATATTTGCTTAGAAAGGCACAGAAAGGTAATTAAGTACATGACTTCCTTCAGCAGCCAGAGGTTGAAGTTGTGCCATAATAGGAAAAAAAATAGGAAAAACTGAATCAGCGTTTACATAGTCATTTGGAGACAGTAACAAAAATCTCAGCAGTAATCATGCATATCTGTCATTTTTCGGCCTGCTGCCTCTACATTTTGTAGACAATTATAACTTGATTGAGTTTTTTTTAATTCCTCTAAGCAGTGGGATATTCACTGATGTTTTCAGAAACACCCAGACCAAAATTTCTAATTAACAATTTTTTGCTGTGAGATGTCAGGGTAATAGGCAGATCTTCATTTGTGTTACAGTGGGTTAAGAACTCCAAGATTAGAATACAGAAACATTAATTTAGAATCATACTGAAAATTAAATTTGAATGTGAAAGATGTCTTCTTTTAAGAAAGTGATTTTAGAATAAAACCACATGTAGCATGTATTATTTATTCTTAGTTCAGGCTTCAAATATATTTGATTTTTGAGATAATTTTCTAAAATAAATAATAGTGTCCCCTCAATCCTTAACCCTTCCAGAAAGGTAGGTAGAGTGTGTCTGCATAACACCTCTATTAAATCTGCATTTTTAGTGTGTTTATTTATCTCTAATTGCTTTAACCATGTCACTTCCTAGTAGTTCATGGATTGTTTTTGTATTCCAGTGTATAGTTGCTTCTAAGTCAAGAGTGTAGATCATTAGTCAGAGTCTATATTGGAATTCATAAGTAAGTGTAAGCGTTATTTTTTTATGGATTCACTGCTAAACCTGCAAGGAAGTTTTGTTCTATACCAAGTAAGTAGAATCCTTTGCCAGTTTCCCTCAGATGAGGTCAAGTTGACTGTTTTTTTGTAGTTTCGTAAGAGGTTGGATGGGAAGAAGTTCTGTCTGTGGGTTGTAGTATAATGTAGAATCACTTTGGATTAGCATTAAAAAAGAGTTTACTGGAACAATACAACCAATTAGATTAGTCCATGTGGAGTCTGCTGCCATAATGATACAGCTGCTGATGTAGCAAATTTGAAGCTAACTTGGCTAACTCTACACAATGTTCCAGTTTGCAGTGGTGATGTATGTGTTAGTGATCCTTTTTTTTATTCCTTAATATCTGTCAATTACCCTGTGTTGGAAACTGACCTCCTTGCAGTTTGCAAATCTGCTTATTTACTGTTAACTGGCAAAGGAGTCAACATTTAGTAAACACAGTGGTTACAGTTTTAGTAAAAACAGGTTAAATATAATGTAAACTGTTTCCTCTGAAATAAGATACTGTTAGTTTTGAACATCTAGGGTGAGATTTCCAAGGGTACCTAAGAGACCCACAAATCCATAGGAGCAGGATGTCCTTTGAAACCTTTGATATCCTTTGATATCCTTTGAAACCATTGGCCTATACCATGCCACTTTGCCTGAAGCCATAGTGGAATAAGTGTTTCTTTTGCTGCCAGTGTAAGTAATTCTCTTACACAGCCACTCATTTCAGTCTCTGTGCATCCTCTCAGTTGTGCTGGTGCAGCTGTTTGTGCAGCTGTGTGGTGGCCTAGTTTGAGAAACTGAAAATAGCTTCTCTCTCTCTCTCTCTCTCTCTCTCTCTCTCTGTCTCTCTCTCCTCCCTTTCTTGCAGTCAGGTAACTAACCTGGTTTTGTTTCCCCATCTGACTCTGTGTAGCCACATATAGCTGTGGTGAAACATCCCAAGGGAATGGCAGAGTGTTGGAATGAGCAAATCAGCGGCCTCCTGTAAAAGTCAGCAGTGCTGCTGAAAGAATTGCTCATGGCTTTGGTATAGTTTGACGTACGGTAAGCATGTATGTATCTCTACTCATGGAAATGTTGCAGAATCACAGCCTTAATTTTGACCCTCCAAAAATAAATAGGGGGCTGATGGTGATTCTGATAACATACCACTTGTTACCTATTTTAAAAGTACATTTATGATTAATTGAACTACTTCTGATTATTACCTGAAATATTCCATATAGTGATATAAATTGTCAACTTTTTAACATCCTTCCTATAAAAAGTACTTTTGGAAAAATTCAAGTAGGAGGGCAAAATAACAATAAATAATGCATCTTGATAGGCCAGCCAACCTCTTTCTTGTGTGTGCAAAGAGTTCAGAATAAAGCCAGCAGGTTTTGGCACTAGCACAGTCTATGGAAATATCTGCACCTGCATGACCGTTGCCAATTAGGACATTATGTAATGTAGCCTAAGCCCGTGGCCAGCTTCTGGAAGTCCTGGCATCACTCCCAGTTCTAACATTAGCAGGCTAGACTGATTCTCACTTTGACATGGTCAAAAACATTTCACTAGCAGAATTTTTGCCGGTTATCACCAGTGACCACTCAGGAGGGCTGGCATTATTGCAGGTGTAGAGGAACACATGTAACAGCATTTACCGGCTGTCTTGTGTTTTGCACATAGTTGAAACTTTCCTTAGGCTGCCTAAGCATTGCTTCCACAGGTTATTCAGAATCTATTTAAACAAAGGAACGTTATTTCTTAAATTTCACTGGTGATGCTCTTTATGTGTGCTGGGTGAAAGGGTTAGGGATTTTTTTTCCAGAGATATTTCCATGCAGAGAGGGTTGGCATTTCACTAGTATTTAGAATTAAGACACATTTTGATAAGTTTTTCTGTGAACTGTGGAACTCACAAAGAGTGATGCTCACTGCCAGTTTCCCCTCAACAAAACTTTTCTATTTCCGTGCTTCTTCCCAGCATCTTAATTTCTCCTCATGTCCTTGACAACTCCCTTGTGCAATATATGGTGTTCCTAAGCATGTTCTCTATTGCTCCCTGCTATTCCCAAATCCTATCTACCTTTTTTTCTCAGCTCTAGCTTTTTTACAGCTACTTGTGTATTGATTTACCCTCTAGTCTGTTTGGATAAAACAGGTAAGTTGACTTTCCTGCCTTTCTTTTGGTTGGTGCCCTAGTAGGATCCCTCTGTCATCTGAGTCACCAGTTTCACAAAATATTTAGGACTTTAATCCATTTGGAATCACTTCTGCTTTGTCAGATTTAGTTGAAACAGAGCAGTGCATCAATGAATTAATTATAAGTCAGAAGTCCTAATTTTATTAGGTTTGCTTCCGTAACAAACTAGGCTAAAACTTAGGAGGCTGAATGAGCTGAATAAATACGTACTAAATCTTAAAACAATGCCAAAACATCAGAATGTTTCTGACAGTGACTTTGGGATATTAAATTGGAGGGGTTTGTGCATGAAATAGCATTATCACAGACAATGATTTATAATCAAAATGTGAGACTATTCAGCTACTGGAATGTACAGTTTAAGGCTTTTTTTTCCCCCCAGAGTAGGCATTTATAAAAACAATGATTCTGGGTTTGTTTGTTGGGTTTTTTTATGGAGACCTCTGGTGGAATGATTTTGAGCTGACCATTGTAAATTGGATAGACTGCATTTCAAAAATGCTCCATCATTTCAGCTTTCAAATAGCCTTCAAGGCCTACTTATAAAGATTTTGGCTCAAACCCTAACACAGGAGATGTCAGGGGAAGCTGGGAGGTGAATCATATTAAGCACTGCCTGCATATGTGGCAGTGCGACAGTCCTGAGACTGAGGTAGCTCGTGTAGGTCCCTAAGCTATGCCAGATGCCTCCAAAGCTTCCTGAACTGCCTCATAATGGGAAAGCCTAAAGCTGTTTTCAAATGCTTTCTACAGACTCTTGTAGTTATAGTTTTGGCTGCAGTTCCCAACTCCGAACTCATGTTTATAGTACATGATTGAAACTCTCTTCATTTGCTCTGATTTGTCATAAAGTTGCTAAAACTTTTTTCTTGGTCACAACTGCTTACTACTGTCAATACTTGTATTTGACTTATTAATCCAATTCTGTCTTTTTTAGGTGGAGCCTATCCTTTGGTAAAAGAGTGGTTTGTCTATTGTGGGAATCCTCTCAAGCAGCCGGAGCTAATACAACCTGTACAACCTTCTGTTCCAGGTAGAATAAAAATGTGTTTAAGTCTAAACTGAAAGAATGACCTCACTAAAATGAAGTTAGACAATCCATCATCATCCTTTTGATATAGAATCCAGAATGACTGTGGAGAACAAGGAGCTAAAGTGCTGCATGCCTGTAATTGCTTTTTGTAATTATAATAGGATTCAGCTTTGAGATACGTGTTATTGCTGTGTCTTGTTAAACCCAGTGCTAATTCGAACATCAGTTCTAAACTTAAAACAGTTTCTTAGAGGCTCTAAGACCAGGATAGGTGGTATGTAGGGCCATATTAAAATTTGTGCATTAACCTATTTAACAGAATGTGTTAATGAGACTGATGGAGAATGTAGAGAAGAGTAATTTTTAGATCACCTATGACAACTCAAAAAGAGATTCCAGCTTTCAGTAAAAAAAAATAGTTAGCTTATCTGCTTCTGTGAAGCTGTTTCTATTGTCTTAAGCCTCAAGTTTTGTGTGGTTTTGTCTTCTTTCCTTTGGTAAAAAACACATTAATGAACACTCTTAGTGAAATTAGAGTGATGAGAAATATATTTATGAGAAAGTATAATACACTTAAGTGAAAAGATTGGGCACTGTCTATGTCACTAAATGGTATCATGCAATACAAGTTTAGGATTGGAAGTAAACAGTACTGTAACAATTTTGCTATTTCAGAGGGAAAATTGTTGTGATTGTTCATTTGTCCATGCTATTGTAGTCACCTTTACTCTCACAGCTCTCTCTCTCTCTGTCTAGTCATCTGCTATCACATGGATCAGCAGCACGAAAGTTTTTTTAGTCTCTTGTATGATGTGAATTTGTTCCATTTATTTACAATAACATTGATATCTTGTTAAGAAGAGTTATCTACTCAACTTTTTGAGAATAATCACCAGTGCTTCTTCCCTCAGCACCAGAGCTTTCTGTAGTAGTCCTTGTTCTGTCTGCTGTAAATCCAGATTCAGAAAAAGTTGAAACACATGCACTTTTTTATAAATTTATAATAAATTCTCTTTTAAGGTATCCTAACCCATATATTTAATGAGAGTCTTCACATTCAAGGATGAAAGAAAACCAGTTGCTCTTTAGATATCAGACTTTTCAAAATCTTTTTTAAAGGGCTGTTTGGAAAGAAATAATTTATATAGACAAAGTACAAACGAGTTTTTATTTGATATACAGTGGTTTCACTGTCCAGTACCCCATATACAAAATTAGGACAGTGATTATCTAATTGGCTTTGTGATAGCATGAAATTACTGTGAAATTTTGCATATGGATAAGAATATGCAGGGTAAAAGCTGATGAGTCTGTCCTGTACAACTGTTTTATTTCAGCATACAAAGGTCTGGGGACATGCATTTGTAAACGAAGGAAACAAAATTTGACAAAGTATAAACCACACCTGCATTTCAAATTGCCTGGCAAATATACTGTATTTATTGTTGTGAAGTTTTCAATCCCAGATATTATACTTCCTTCCTCCCTTTCTGGAGAGGAATCCACTTAATCTCATGTACTCTGGTTCTACAGCTCTGCAAACATGCTACATAGAACCCATCTTTATGTTGACAGTAAACAGGATTTAAAATCACTGTGTTTGTTTGTTTATAGCAACCACAAAAGTGGAGTTTATAAAAACAGAATCTTCTCAGCCATAATCTTTGCAAATTCAGTAATGAAAGGCTGTTCAAGCAGACTATTAAAAGAGGGGAGGAGGACTTTTAGTGTTTATTTTTAGTCCTCTGTTGTCATTCCTTCAGCGAACAAATATTTTTCTAAAATTTTTACAGTCCATATTTGTATGCCTTACATTCACTCATGCATCTTTGATTTTCCACAGCATGACTTTCTAATTCACCATATAAGGTCCTCAACAGCACATCACATTTTTCAGACAGGGATCATATTTAGAGCTAAATTTAAAGAAGTTGTTATAGGAAGTTAGAGTTCAAAGCTGTCAATCAAGATCAGGTTACGCGAAAAGAGAAAAAAAACTTTACCAAAAACCTATTAGAAAATTCACAAGTATACTTAATTTTGGAAGGTTCTTTGTTTTATCTTTTTTGAAAAGACTTATAACCTTATCATCAAAACTAGTTTAGAGCTGTATTGAGTATATATGGAAAATCCTGACTCTTTTTAATTTGATTTAGATTAAAAAGTCTGAAGAAGCTATTAACTTTGAACTGTAGTTACATAACAATAAATATTTTAAATTTTGCATTGTTCTTTAAAAGAAAGGTAGAATTTCCACTAACTTTTTATATAAAACAGCAGAACTGCCTTGTATCAGGAAAAGTTGCAGGTGATAGATTGAATGTTAGCTCTTTGTTTTTAAATAAAATATCAAATCTTAAAGGCAGTATGGTAAGTAAGATGAAGACTTAAAATATATTTAAAATACCATATATATTATATATATGTTGTTGGGTTTTTTGAGAGACAGTCTTCTGAATTAACATCTGTGCTTGCTCGCATTCTCTGTATCTCTTTCTTGCTTCTGGAATGTTTCTTTTCAGTTGAATGTTTCTTTTCAGAAGATCTGTGCTCCAGGAAAATACTGTTTAACATCCATATCTTGTGAACATAGCAGATATATTGGACATGTGTGCGATTTATATGGAACAGAAGAAATTCTAAAGTCTTTACTGGAAATTTATGGATTCTGCTGTTCATTTAATTTCTGAAAATGTGTAGGATATTGTAGCTTCATACCAAAGAGTTTGGATGTACTTTCAGTATTTTAATCATTGCCTCTTACAGGAATATGACATGAATATGCTTCGGTTCAAAATGCTGTCTCTGGAATGCTTATTTAATGGTCAGATTTAATTGGCATTTGGGTTTATAGCATCTTTAAAATTGGCCACAGTTGTTGAGAAGTACATTTATATAAGCTTATTTTTACTGCTCGGTATTTACATGCGTGTGTAAAAATGAAGAAGTGTTAAAGTTCTATTACTGATGTTATAAACTAAAATTTCAATAGTCAATACTTCAAATATACATGAACAATTAATATTATACATTTATATCTGTACACACAATGATGACTTGTTTAAAGTTGGTATGAATGTAAGGATCATCTTTGTAAAAGCCTTGAGTTAAACGATCTCATATAATTAATGCATTCCACAACTTTTGCATGTATTGCATATTCATAATAATTGAAATTCAAACAAATGAAATAAGTAGTATGTATTCCCTTAAAGTGCCTTTGTTTGTCATGCTGTTTTCTGTATGACAATTTCATTAAATGCATGAGTATACAGGAAAAATATAAAAAGTAATTCAGTTCATGCTTTTTCTTTTAACTTGTCGGTTATGTGTGTTTGTGTGTGGGCAAGTAGTATCTCTTAACCTGCATGGAGGTCTTTGTGATGCTCCTCTTCTTGAGGTTCCTGAGGACTGCAGTTTACATTGTAGTGAATATGGTTTTCACACAGTTTTTTGTGTGTTGACAATAATTGTAAGCATATGCAGCATTTGAGTAATTCATAGGAACTTGTGGTTCCTACAACCAGTAGGATAATTTTCTCATTACTAATCTTTACAGTAAAGATGTATCAATTGTATATATCTAAGTATATTTTGCTGTGTTTTCCTTTTGTTATTGGTTGTTTTTTAGGTTAATTTAGTAAATATCTAGACATGTTCTGAAAGTAAATTATTTCTCCTCCCTATCCAAGTAAATTTCTCTTTCAGAAATGTCTTCTAATTACTGTAAATTATGTAGTGAAGATGTAACCAGAGCAGAGAACAGTTTTGGGGGTCTACTGTATATGAATCTTAGAATCTGCTGTGGACTTTATGTATGATGGGAAAGTCATTAAACTTCAGGGTATTTCTTTCTTTGTTTTACTTATCTTTCATTTAAGAGTTAATAGATCAGTCTTAGGTACTACATGGTATTTTATTACTTGTAGAAGAGATCGTCTCAGAAAAATAGCACCTCTGGTTGGTGTTCCAAAAAGAGAGAGCATCAAATTTTCCTTTCCAGAGTAAATAACTCATAATTTATCCATACTTCTTTTTCCCAGGCGCAAGTAGATGTTTCTGAAAGTGTAAGGAATTGTTTATGGAAGAGATGTCTTGAATTTTTTGTTGAGTTCTCTCAATATAGATATGTAACCTTGAATATTGATAGAGTTAATGGTTTTATTCTGAAGAAAGAAGGATTTCTATTATTAGATATAACCCCGGATGCAAAAAAGAACTGTGCTTTAACTGATTTCTGGTGTATCTCTTCGTATGCAGAAACCATGTACAAATTGTCTCGGACTTGATAAGGAAAGTTTAAAGTTTGTTCTGTTTTGGTTTCCTGCATGCTATATTTGCTCTAATTCCTGGAAGTCAGTCTCTGTGGTTCTTTTTTTTTTCCTTAAGGCGGCAATTACCAATATCAAAACCACTAATTTGAGTCTTTTTGGTGCTGTCTGTGCTGGCCCACTCACTGCCGCTATTTGTGTTATCTCTAACCTGCATTTCTACTTACAATCAAGCAACTGGTCCTTTTCTTAATAAGGTTAGAGACTTATAGATTTTATGATAGTAGTTCTTTACATGGTTAAAACTTTTGACAGGAGAGTTAGTCTTAAAAGTAGTAAAAAAAACATCCATCAGGGAGATAAAGAAAGAAAGTACTGACTTCTCTTCTAGTTTCCCCCTCTCCAAAGAATTAGTACCATTTGGTTAATGGGCTTTCCTGGCTAAATAAACATTGTCTATGTAGATTTCAGCACCTTGTCACTTTAACCATTTATTATCACCAAGTGTTCTTAACTGGTCTGCAGCTGCTGCATGTCACATAAAAAAGGGGAAGGTGTTACCAAATGTTGCTTAATTAGTCCACATTTAAAATTCACACCTCGTTTTATTTAAATACAGAAGCAGTAGTACTTTATGGTACAATTCTGTCTTTTATTGAGATTCTCAAGCATAACCAGTTAGCTGTTCTGTTATTTCACGTGCATTAGTGTTTATTTTGGTAACAGATTAAATGTAATATAATGAGGAGCAAATTTTGTATTCATTCACACATGTCACAAGCTGGGAGATGGCAACATGAGGTAAATATTAAGGATTTAGAAACAAGCACGAATGATAGTATAGAAATTCTTGAAAGATACATTTTTCATAACTGATGACAGTTCTTTTGTGTGTGTTTGCAGCAGTGTCTCATACAGTAGCCTACAGAGTGCAAAATACCAGATCACCTTGGTTTTTGTTCCCAAACTGGAACCTACTGCAGAGGAGTCATACCAACACAGTGTTTTATGGAGAATACCTGTTTGCCAGCAAGTGGCATAGGTGATCGGTTTGTTCATTAAAACAGGTGATTATAAGGGAGACAATGTCAGGATCCTTCAGGGATACACCAGTTCTAGGAGAGACAGAAGAAAAAGATCTAGTTGTTTTCTGCTGAATCGCTATTTATGATGAGGTGAACTTCATTTAATGCTCTGGATCCCCAAGGGAAAGGACACAGTTACAGGCAAACTTTGGTTTCGCATAGGTTAAGTGCCTGCTGTCTCAAAGTTTCTATGTTGTTGTAACAATTTAATTCAGTCCATTCTGCTTAAACATGCCTGTATTCAATAAATTTTTTTTAAGTTACAGGACGTATTTTTATGTTATTTTTTTTTCCAATGCAAATTTTGTCAAATACATTTTTTTTTCAGCTCTGTGATCCTTGCAAGTACCAAGAGCAGATCAGTTGTTTCCTTTCAGATTGTAATGAGGTAGACATGTTTTATCTTGTTGCTGCCAAAATAATATAATGGATTTCCTTTGTAGGTGGAACACCTAATTTGAAAACACTGTGGCTTGCCAAAGGACCTGATGTGGAAAAGCAACGGTATAGTACGTTTCTGGCATGCTTTCACCTTCAGGATGAGATGGAAGAATTCCAAGCTCTAGAAGCACCTGTTGCAGGATTCTGTTGCTTGCTGACCTATCTTATGATGCAGGTAACTGGGACAGTTGCTTTTTCTTCCACTGTCAGCTGATAGATGTGACTGACTAATAAACTATTTCTTGCTAGCCTGTGCTAGATTTTTGCCCTGATCTTTACTGTAGGCATAGTTGATCAAATATAACAGTACTGCATTACAGTATTTTTAATTACTCTGCTTAACATGCACCATCCTGCTCAAGAAATACTTGGGTTTTTTTGGTAGTTAATCATAACTCTCACATGCCCATGACAAAACCCCTTGGGCAGTTTAACAGAGAGAGTATAAACTGAGGGATTTCCCCTGTTTTTTGGGACCTGTTTGCAAACTAAAGCTGCTCCTTTTGTGTTTCCTTTGTGTCATCAAAAGAAGACATTCCCTCAGGTGACTATGCAGGCTATGCAAACAGCAGTATAAATATTTAGTTAGCTCTCACTGCTTTTTCACACCATCTTGTCAATCTACGCATTTTCAAGCTAGAATTGAGAATATGGCTCTTCTCATTAAATTCTGAGTAATAGAGGATCATTAGGTAGCAGTTCTGTTATAATTCCAAATATTTGGCAGCATGAAGACTACCTTAATTGTAATAAAAAGGGGCACAAATTAAATACCATATTGCTTCATTGTTTACTTTTCTCTTAGGTATTTAATATATTGTCTGTACTTGCCTCATTTCAAATGCTGATCTCACAAGCAGATTTTCCTCTCTGAGAATGAGAAAATTATAATGCTTTTATCTAATCTGATAAACTCTGCTTCACTTGTGCCTACACTGAACTGCATTTTGTCTATTGTTTTGCTTTCTCAGACTTCACTTTCCTCAATAGCAAATTTATACTGGCATGTGATACATGAAAACAAGTTCTCCCTTACTTTTACTTTCTTTTTGTGTTTACTCAAATTTAAATGATGCACTGAGGAAATACATGTGGGAATTATACAAGTGATTCATATAGCTCTTTTTTTTCTTTAATTTTTGTATCACAGAGTATAAATTGAAGGTTTTTTGAAGATGAAACTCATTAAACATCATTTCATGCCTTGCAGTTTAAATTCAGCCAGATACATATCATGTACCAAGCTTTTAACATACTTGAAGTGTTCTTCATATTTGGATATGAAATTGCAGTTTCATTTATTTATCTGTTATCACTGTTTCATTTATTTACTGTGCTATCCTGCACAATCTTTCATAGCATGATAACTAAAGTGTTTGAGAAGGGTTTCTTTAGTGGGATTACAAAGAGGAGTAACAGGAGGGAACACCTACAGAAATATGGATTTACTGACCCTTGATCACAGCATATTAGTAAAATAAAAAAATGCTTGTCAGGGAAATGGTTTTCAGAACTCATTTTCCAATGGCTTCTTTTAAAAACAGAGATGAAAGCAGTTTCACAGCTCTTCTTTTCAACAGCAATAATAGCAGAGAGATCATGGAAAGGGCTTAGCTTGATGGAAGGTTTTTCATGGTGGTGCCAGTTTCTCAACATCTGTCCTGTTTTTCTGATTCTCTTCTGGTCTCTGAGTTGCCGTGATACAATCTACCCTATGAATGAGACTAGGGAATCAATTTGGATTTAAACGTTTTTCATTGCTGAGGTTTTTTAAATGATGCTTATTTCTCTAGTATTGTCCATTTGTTCTCCTGGGGTGTTGGAGAGGAAAACTTGAGAGCAAGAGTGTCAGCAGCCATGCTTTGAGCTGTCCATATTGCTTCCATTTGTTTTATAGCTGAGAAAACAATGCTTGTCTAACTGTGATCTAATTCTTGTCTTTACTTTACACTTTAGCCTTAAATTTCTATTAGAGAAGGAAGGTGGATTGTTTTCTCAAAAATTATTTAAGTTGACCAATTGTAGGTTGCCTTGAAGCACGCTTCGAGCTTTCCTTCAACTCATGTGAGGGAGAATAAACTTCTTAAAAATTCCATTCCTCATTATTCAATCTAACCTAAAAATTAGGTTTTTATGGGAACCATCATATTGACCAACCCATCTGGCTTCCTTGAAACTTATGTGCAAATATTTAATGAAAACTTCATTTTTTTTTAAAGTAAGAAAAAATATAATAAACAAACCTTAAACATGTAAAGAAAGTGTTGATTTGAAAAATATTTTTTTTCAGTGAGGGTAGTTTTCAAATATCCTCCAAATTAAGAATGAAAATTTACAAAATAACAGACCTATTTTTAAAGTTGGGAAAGGAGTGAATGAGTTCAAATATCAAAATGTGAAGTCTGCAAAGAAAGGAGAAATATCTCTTTCAATCTCTTATGGTTTTGGAATAAATCTGACAGTGGAATTGTGGTAACTCTCCAAATTTGGTTACTGAATAAAATATTTCTCCAAAGGAGTGTTTTTACATTTGTAAGCATTTTGGCTCCTCTGCTCTGTTAGGGGCATTTTCTTGCTGTTGTACTTGCAAGCAATATTTGATTTCCTTTTCTTAGCACAAAATTTTGCAAGTATTGAGAATTATTGTGTAGATTGAAGTCACTTTTCTGTTACTTCAATATATAAAATGTGCAGGTTCAGTAAAACTCTTGTTGCTGTCTACACAAAGGTGACACCTGACTTGAATTACAGGGTAAAGTAGGGCCATTATCAGATCTTAGCAGACAGGTGGAGTTAATGAATACCAAGGAGCATTTTGAAAGCTTAAAATTTTTCTAATATCCCTCCCATTCTTGTGCTTTATGCAAGATTTAGCAGCATCATAGAGGGGAAAGTATTTTACAGTGCAAGAAACGCAAGGCCTGACTTTAAAAATTTTTTTTAAATTCTCAGTAGTGGTTAGATAATTTTTATCCTGAGGAGGAAAGAATGAGTTACTCCTCCTAAGCAAATAAATGAATTACATAATTATAGATGGCTTCTTAATGTTTGGGGGGTTTTCCTGTTGATTTACATTAATACTTTTTTGTTAATTTTTCTCTCCTTCATTTTATCTGTCACTAAATAGAAGCTCTTAATGGATTGAAATAGAATGTACAAAACATTCCCCCAAAATTAAACTGTTTAAAGAAAGGCAATGCAGAGTTTTAGGCAGCCTTTTAACTTTTCTGTAAGCCCACAATGCACATTTCCACATTTTGCAAGAGAAACCTTTCCTCAAGTTCCAATTGATAAGGAATTGTAATGTTTTATGGATCTTGCTTTAAAGCCCTTTTTATAGCCTCAACAGCTGTAACAGATATGTGGGCTTGGTGTGCATAATGTTCTTATAAGAGGAAGGAAAGGATCAGAACTGAACTGGTATTGTCATAGGATCATCCCAGCTGGTCTCAAGGCACTGTCTTTCTCCTGAGGTGACCCTGTGCCTCTATAGAATGTCAGAACATCTTTTCGCAGCAGAAAAAGCTCCCATTCCCCCTTCACTCATAGAAGTATTAGAGTGAACCGTTACATGAATTTAGAATTTTTCTTTATGTTACCCCACTTGAACATTTTAGATTTAGTTTTCTCATAGTTTTAAGTTTTCCCCACTTTGATTTGTAGCCTAAAAATCCTGAAATTGAGGTAAAAGTAGGCAATTAAATATTTTAGATTATTTTTAAAGTTTCCAACAGATAACTGTGTAAGCATTTGAAAAAAAACCCAATGGTCATCACATCTGTGGCTCAGTGAAGAGGGTTTTATCCTGGATGTTAATTATAAAGCAATTTTTTTTAATCTCATTTTTTTACTATGCTTGGTGTTACAGAAATGAAGTTATTTCCTGTTACTAAGAAACTTCAAGGGAAGCAGAAAAGGGAATAAAGAGGGGTGGGCTTTTTTTTTTGGTGTGTGGAAATCCATGTATATACACTATACATGAGTATTGGGATATGCATTTCTTTCAAGTTGTGAAAGAAAGTATTTTGTTCCCTGAAAGTGTGCTTTCCTAGACAATGCATTCATGATGGTCATAATTCCATGAGGTCATTGATCTAAGTTTGATGTGCTTGAGCAAGAGGAGTCAATTTTCCGGAGAGTTTCTCTTCAGAGCCTTCAGATAATGTGTTATTTTTCACCTGTTTTAGGTCAGTAGCCTCTCTCTGGAGGACTTAAATGCATTTGTGGCACTCATTCTCTGCCTCAAAGGGAAGTCAGCTACTCAACTGGCAGGTCTGCAGGTATGGACCAGAATAATTTGTTGCATAAAATGGTCATGAAAAATTTTTTTGGGGAAAATTGTTCTACATTAATTTTTTGCAGATATGGGGACTAAGGATCATGGTAAATACATAGGCTTTTAATGTGCTGCGTTTCATGTGAATACTTACATTTGTTAATCACGCAAAAAATTAAAATGGAAAGGACATTTTCTGGTGGTTGTGAGGTAGCGTGAGCAAAGTAGTCTTAGATTTCTTCCTTACTTGGCTTCCAGACTTCGATCTGTAGTGGTGAATCCTGTCTTACAACATTGCTACATTATTTTTTACTGAGGAGGATTGTGTTTTGGGACATAGGTTGTATGAAAATCACTACGTTAAATCAAATTTAAGTATACTTGAGGGAGAATATAAACATAGTATAAACCTAACCAGAAAAATTGTTATGTGACCCACTGTAGTGAAAACTATTTGGATTACACTATTCTATAATTAGTCACGAGTTCTTTTAAATATTTTATATATGCCATGCAAATCTGGCTTTTTCCTTTCCTGTCTTCTTCAATCTACATGTGGAAAGGCAGGTTGCTAGATGATTATTGCAGTAGAACCATTTAAATTTATCTTCTTGCATATGGCATTATACAAGAGTATTTTCACTGTCACCACTTCAAGTTGTATTCAAAGTATTAGTAGTGTAGAGCATAGACTGTACGTGTCAATGGCCATTTGAGTTGTGGGTTTACGTAGAAGTAGGTGGGAAAGGATTAGAAATGGTTAGAACCTTAACATATCTTCACTCTGTAAATCTCGCTTATACTTCCAATAAATTCTCTGTTGCTTTGAACCATCCATGTGAGAATTTTAAAAGTACTTTTTGCTGATAGCAAGGTAAACCAACCACTGCTATTACCATCCATTTGTTTCTAGTGCACAGGGACCAAATTAACAAAACCAGTGCGCTTCCAGTTTCATTATTTGATTCACTATAACAGATAAAGTCCAGTCTCCTATCATTTTTTTTAAAATTCATCACAAATTTGTTCTGCAGCTGATCAAGTGTAAGATCTGTGTAACAAAAAGGAAGCTATGAAATGAAGACAATATGGAAAACAGCAAAAATGTAGGATTTATTTCTGTCAAAGACATTATTGCACATAGTGTTGCACTCAACATTGGGAGTATCATTACTTTATCAAATCTGTGTGGCAGTCATTCAGCAAAAGCATAAAGGAAACCAAGCTTAAGTGTTGAAACAATTTGTTTATAGATGCACTTATATCTTACAATGTCTACTACATACATACATTAAGATACACTTAGGTATTACTACAGAAGTATCTGAAGTGTTTGAAAGTTTATTCTGTTTGAATTAGAGGTCTTTGTGTGCTTCATTCGTGTTGTGATTCTACGAAAATAGAAATCTGAGTGTTGCAAACATGTAATATTAATCAATGTATGCTACTTATCAGCCTTGTAGTAATTCAGAGTTGTTCACAAAATTGTATTATTTTTCCACAAGCTTATGGCAGAGAGTTATGAGCATAAAAGTGCATGAAATGTGAAGCTGGTCTTACACTGTCTCATGAAGTGGACAGCATGTTGTTGGAATTGACTTCTGTGTGCTATTGGCAGGTCCTTTCCAAAGTTCTGTTCCTCTGCTGCGTAAGAAAGCACTTCATGCACTGTCACATAGTGCTTTCTGCTGTGCTAAAAAACAACAAAATATTCTATAATGCAGTTGAAAATTTTGTATCAAGCTATTTTGTAGAGCACTTCCTTGTCTTATTCTATAAAAATACACAATAGTGTCTTTGGTAATAGTTTGAGTCAGAATAAATTCCTCTAAAGGGAATAGTGAGGAAAGATTTTGGTCTCTTTCCCTTTTGAGTTTGTGAATAGATTAATAACAGTTTCAAACCTTTCCCCCGTTTGCCTTCAAATTAACCTCCCTTCCTGTGTTTTAATGACGTGGATTTCCTGGTGGTAAACAGTTGCTCTTTTTCAGTTTCTTGTATAGCTGTGTCTTGTCAAGCTATATCAAGAAAAGATGTTATGTTGTATTAATAGCCATAAAAATACTTTTTTTTCTTCATATATAAGCTGCCTGTAATTTTGTGAAAGCACCAGGATCAGTTTTAAGATTTATATGATGTTACTCTCACTTCACAGGAAGAGTAAAAAGTGGTCTGTTTCCTGTTTCTGTGCTTCTGAAATGTGGTGTGTGGATGAATTTAATTATGTCCTGGGAATTTTCTTTTGAAAGAGCAGTACACTAAATAAATAGAGTACCTTATGTAAGTACTCTAAGAATAATGATCAAAAAAGCAAGCTTTCTGAGTATTATCGTTCAAGAATCTAATTTTCAAGATTCCACCTCAGAACAGCTTAAGCTGGTTTTGCTCATTACTGTGTTTCTCTGGTCATTTTACAAATTTGAGATAGACTATTATTTTAATAGTTAGTAAATAGTTATCAGTAGGTATTTAACAGCTTAATGTTTGTGTTTAAAATCAAATGATCCAAGTGCAGTGAATTACACTAGTACATAACTAATTAATAAGTGGGGTTTATAGTAGGAAATCAGGAATAGAGTTTAGTCTGTTTACCATACTTTTTATTCTCCACTGAAAGGTTAAAAGTGATCCTTAGAAAGACTTACTAACAGAGCTTTGAAGGAAATTATGTTAAACTTAGTCAACATCTGCAAAATTTTATGAAGTTGTTTGCTCATTTGCCATTTTGGACTCAACACTATAGTATTATTTTAAATGTAGAAAAAAAAATGTTTACTACTTATAAACAATTCTGTGAAATACACTAATTTAATAAAAAAAAAATCTGTTTCTGTAAAGGACTCCATTAGCAAGTATGTTGTAGCAGAACACTGAACTTCCACTGTGAAATATGAGAGAAAATATAGAGCCTGTTCTTCTGATAGAATGAAGAGAGCCTTTCATCATTGACTTTCAAATCTGCTTTCTAATATGCTGTCCATATTTCATAGTTAACGAGATCCATAAACTCACGAATCTCTGAAACAGAAATGTCTATGGTTTGAATAAAGTGGGTTAAAGCCATAAAAAATATAGTTTATCTCATGCTGAAAGAAAGTGGGCTGTGGACATGTAACTACATTGTACATTAAATATTACTTTCTGAGAATAACATAACGTTTATACATGAAGATTTGATTATTTTTCAAGATCGATGGTCTAATAATACCAAAATGTGCACATGATAGAGAAGACATTTTTCTGGTAAGTTTTTTTCTAGTTTTCTTGTGCTGCCCCCCCTTATATGGTAGATTAGCATTCTGCTTTGCCCAAACCTCCCGTGGAGCTGATACATAAGGTCAGAATTAAATTTTGGACCCCAGGTTGTCTGTTTCGCTTCTTTCTATTTTAATCTGGTGTGTGGTATTGGCAAAAAGTCCAGAGAGCCATCAGGCTAACTTTGAGGCCATTGCAGAGAAAAAGAAGCACCAGCAGTTATGCTTCCAGTCTTGATTCTTATATTGAACTGGCCACTGGTTGTTCAGTGTTTGTCAAGCACTGAAGTATATTCCTTCCATTTTTAAAGTGCTTTCAATTATTTAAAAGTATTACTGATATGAAATGAGCACAGTCATTTTAGATCTTAAATTATAAGCTCCAGAGAGTCTTTGCAATTTGATTGCAAATGAATTTTCACAAAATATGTATTAAGTATTATTTAAATAGCTTTTGAAATAATAATAATAATAATAATAATAGTAATAATAATAATAATAATAATAATAATAATAAATACTCAGCAAACTAGTTAACTAGCTTGACAGGTGGAAATAGCTTTAGCAGGAATTGTAGTTGTGCAGAACCTTTGAGTATTTTCCATTGTACACTGTCATGGAAGCAGAACTACCTTAGTAATAGTATTATACCAATATTGCACGAGATATTTTTCTCCAACTATTTTCCTGAGGAATACTCAGTCACATCCATGCAAAATAGCAGTATGTTTTAGAGTAGTAGGTAGTAGTGTAGGTAACCTGGTTAACAGTGTGTAAGTATCTTGGTTAGGGTCCCTCAAATTTAAAGAAGGGCATTGCTAAATCTATTCTGTATTTTTAAACTCCATATTCATTCTTCTATGCCATGCAGACAGAAAAACATAAATAATGCCTGGATTCTGAACATTCAAGAATTTTTTACCTGTTTGGCAAGCCAAGCTACATTTGTCAACACCATGTGATATTTTTCAAACAGACTCCAAACAGCCTTTGTGACCTATCTATATTTTTCAAAATACATTTGTTTAAAAAAATTCTTTCTTCCCCAGAGAGTGTATGTTTATTGTACCCCTGCGACTGTTTCCTAATAAATATTTGCTTTAAGTCTAATTGGGTTGAATGAAGCATGAAATGCAAGTAAGAATATTGTAAAGATTTCACAGATAACCCCCTCTTACATACAAAGGACCCACTTCTGTGATGTACGTTAGTATTAACCAAAGTGGAATTTGAGTGTATTCCCAAATACTTTACTGAATTGGGATTTATATTCCCTCAAAATTTGCACCTGTCAAAACTGGTTTTAAAATTATAGGTGAGATTGTAACTGCAGGGAGTGGGGAACGGGGGGGATTGAGGTGGTTTATTAATCTTGGCATTGCTTCCCAGCCCATTCTCTTATCTGCAGTCTTTAGATTTTCTGGAACAAAAGTGCCACAGTGTGGGATGTGATTTCAAGTTGGGATTGGTTCAAACTTAGAAATATAACTTTCTTCTCATGTCCTCAAGACAGTCTGAAATGAACTAGTTCAAATAGAAACAGTCCACTTACACAGGTCAAGCATTAGTGCAAAGACAATTATCTATCAGGAGCTGAAGTTGTTCACTGCTTACAGCAGTTTTTGAAAGGCCCATCTCTAAATCTGTTTCTATTTTCATAAGAGTCTTTTGAAATTCTGAAGAAATTCAAGTTTTCTCAGTCCTGTTGCATTGACAACTGGCTCTACCTTTCTTTGCTGCTCTTGGTTCA